CTACCCTTACCATCCCTCTCATTCAAATCAACTACATAGTGAGGGTCTTCCCCAGAATACCTCTCAAAAGCATCTTGAAGCTCAATAGCAGCATTCAACATCAAATAGGTGGAGTTCCACCTAGTAGGCACATCAAGGCACAATCCCTTTTTTGTGTTGATTTTTTCATCTAAGACACATTTTTTAAACCTTTGCAACCTAGCAGGAGATTGTTTGATAAACCTAACAGCATGCCTAACACGTTGAACCGACTCATTAACAGTTTTCAACCCATCAGAAACAACCAAATTGACAATGTGTGCAACACAACGCATGTGAAGGAAACGACCCTTAAGAACCCCAGTTTTCCACCCATTTATTTTCCTTCTCATATACCCAATTGCAGTATCATTTGAGCTAGCATTATCAACTGTTATGCACATGACATTTTCAAGCCCCCAATCAAGCAAACACTTTTCAATTTCTTTGCCAATATCATCACCCTTATGACTAGAAATAGGACAAAAATTCAGAATTCTTTTGTGTAATTTCCAATTATTATCAATAAAGTGGACAGTCAAGCACATGTAATTGATTTGTTGTATAGAGGTCCATGTATCAGTGGTTAAAGAAACTCTTGAATTACACCTTTTTAACACATTTTTCAGCTTTCGTTTTTCAGTTAAATATGTTTCAAAACAATCTTTGGCTACTGTAATTCGAGAAGGAACATTAAATCTAGGCTCTATTACACCACAAAAATGTCTAAAACCTATACCTTCAACAAACTTAAATGGAAGTTCATCAACAATCACCATAAATGACAAAGCTTTTCTAATACTACCAGCATCAAATTTGTGGTATGTCAACCCACTAGTACCACCACTTGGTTCTTTAGCACTTTTAAATGAAAGCAAACTTTGTTTTGAATCTTTAGGGGTGTTAAAGGGATACTTACGACATCGCGAAATATGAGCCCATAACACACTAGTGCCGTTTTTCTTTGCCCCACACTTGTAGCTCATCCCACAATACTTGCAAATTGCCTGCATTCCAGAAGGTAAGTCTTCTTTATCAAAGTGCTCCCAAACTTCAGAGCGTTCTTTCATCCTCTTCCTTTTTGCTCCCTGTTCTTTTTTCTGATTTTGAGAGACTTGGTCAGTCTCATGTTCGGATTGAGGCTGGTCAGGAACACCACCCACGTTGGTTGTCATTCAATAATTCGTGGTTGAATAACAATCTGTAAGAATACATGCAAACTCATAAATTAAGAATATTGGATCTTTTAAAGGGAATAATAATTATACCCCTAATAAACAAAATCAGTAGTAACTGGCTAACTAAACCAAAGACAATAACAATTTAGCAATAATAATTAGCCCCCTAAGATTCCACCCCACCACCCAAAAACAATCAAATTAAGCACTAACTGACTAACTGTACCCAAAACAAGTAAAATCAAAATTAACAATAATAACAAAGATCAACAATCTAATAAACACTTATCAAGACAATGATAATGCTATTAATCATGCGAACCCTTGAATTAATAACTAACTAATAATCTGAAACAATCTTCAACAGAGTCCAATCGAATAGAGCTTCAAAATACCAGAAAATTCAGAATGTTTTACTAGACCAAAACCCTAATCAGAATGTTTTACTAGACCAAAACCCAAAATACCCTTCAATAGACCAAAACCCCGAAGCATCAAAATACCAGAAAATTCAGAATGTTTTACTAATTTGTACAGAATAGAAAATTCAGAAACAACATCGCAATATGAACATCAAGCATAGATTAAAACCCTAATCAGAATGTTTAACAAATTTGTACATGTAATTTGCAGATTTTCGTAATTAACATTTAACACTAATCATAATTAAAACCCTAAAAAAATATGAACATCAAGCATAATCAAAACTTAAAAGCATACCTTTGGACGGTGGACGGTGTCACAGTGAACGCCTGAACGAGTGCGCTGTGCCGGTGAACGATGGAGAATTGGAGAGTGAGAATTCTGAGAAACACAAAAGAGATGATTGAGAAACTGAGAAGGTGAGGGTGAGAGACTGAGAAATTCGCAATGAGGGTAGGGTAAGAGGCGAACTGAGGAAGTCAGGAGAGAGAATCAGAGAATGAGGGTTAGGGTTTTTTTTTTTTTTCCTTATATACTTAGGGTAAATCTGCCAATCTGGGCCTAAATTTCGGTTTTCGGTTTTTTTCGGTTTTCCATTTCCTCAAACCGAAACCAAACCGAAAACCGAAATATTTTTTTTTAAAAAACCGAACCGAACCACTTCAAAAAAAAACCGAACCATATTTCTTATTCGGTTCGGTTTTCGGTTCGGTTCGGTTTTAACCCGAATTTGTTTCACCCCTACATCCAACTGATTCCCATCATCGCTAAGTACACAATTTAACCATTCATATCCCCATCACGATTATCCATCGATATTTGTCGAAATCCATATATATTTCACTAAATCATCAAAACACCTTGTGTTCAGCATATAAAGGAGCTCAGCTTACACAAATGATCACTACCCAACATCCACAATATCTGTTATTCCAAATTTCAGTAATTTTTCTATAATGCGCACCCTAGATTACTAGTACCCTATAATCCGACACCCGAACACGTTACCAAATTCAGATAAACACAATAATTTCTCAGCAAACATGTAATCTATCACAAAATATTTCAATTTACGAGCAAAAGATTAAACAACTGAACCCACAAAAACAGTATCCAATTTTAATTACAACGCAATAAACTACAAGAAACCTACGTAGTAAAATTTACGGTGCCAGGAAAAAATTGGCCATTTCAATAACCTAATTAACATCAAAATTGAGCTAACCTTTAAATTAAAAGCATGCAATTCACAATCATAAAGCCCAAACAATCTATTGACAAATCCAAGTTCATTATAATTTTAAACCATAAAAATGAGAACTTAAACAATATATTAATTATTCGACACTTACCCCTCAGCTTCAGAATCACAACGATTTTACTTCCTCTCTTTTATTATTCGAGGACGAAAATTACCACCAGAAAATGCAATTGATAAACCCTAAAATAAGTTGAATTTCTGACAATCTGAAATTGAAAGAGAGATTATCGAAAACTTTCCGGTGAACTACAACTCTGTCTGCCGGAAAGAGGCAGCAGTAAAGTTACCTGAGTAAAACAAGACTAAGGGTTTTTTATGTTTTTTTTTTTTTTTTTTTTTGACGGGAAGTAACGAGGCTTTATTAAGTACTCATAATATCAGACAAAATACAAGCATGAACTTCGAGAGGGACTCTTCAATCCAAACTCGCAGCTCAGAAATTTTTTCACTAAGTTGAGCAAGCTTGTGAGTAGAGGTGGGCACCATGTTGTACCGAGCCGTCACGGGCCGTGCCCGGTGGTGCCTCGTGCCGTGCCCACCAGATCACGGGCCGTGCCGTGCCGTACCCCATTTTGGCCATCCTAGCCCACGGTACTGCACGGCCCACGTGCCTGTCGGCCGTGCCGTGCTGTGCTGGGCAGCAGGCCGGCCGAACTTAATATTTTTTTTTTTATATAAAAAAACAACTTGTAAAATAAGTATATTTAAATTTTTTTATTAATTTATGTTTATGTTTTTGTATTATTATATTGTTAATGTGCTTTTTATTATCAATTTATTATAGTTCTTTTACTCTTTATTATTTATGTTATTATTATACATATTTATTACTATTTAGCAAAAAGTAACAATGCACATAATTTAAAAATTTACGAGTGCGATAATACAAAAATTGATGAATAACTTATTTAATTTTATTATAAGTCGGTACGATAAATCGATAATACAATAATTTATAATGATAAAATCATACAATAATTAATCGATAATAGCCGTGCCCTCAGCTCGTGCCGTGCCTGCAGGCCAAACGTCGTGCCGCCCACCGTGCCGATTTCCAAAAATGTTGTCCACGGCACGACTCACGGCCCATGCCTGGGCCATCGTGCCGGGCCGTGCCTAAGGCGAGCTCGTGCCGGGCCGTGCCCGTGTCGCCCATGTGTCGGCACGGCCATGCCCACCTCTACTTGTGAGCAACCAAGTTGCCTCGTGTACCAATATGCGAAATAGAAAAGCTGGAGCAGCAGTTTCGCCCGTTTGCATAGGCTACCAAAACTTGTGAAGTTGTGATGGTTTTTGTGAGGTATTCCTATTTATTTAGTTGATTTGAATTTTCCCCCGAGTATGTGTCCAAAAAAAAAAGAGTAGTATAGTACTTAATTTTATTTACGGAGTAATAATATAATGGAAAAAATAATGGGGACTAAGTAAAAGAAAAGTTTTTCAAAAGTTGAATAATTAAGCCGATAAGTTAAACAAAGATGAGCTTTTTTGAACAAAAAAAAGTTTTTCATTTTTTTTGTTGGCCTATTCTCTCCGTCTAAACTTAACTAGATCAAAACTAGAAAAGAAAAAAAAAAAAAAAAAACAAAAAAACATATACTTGTAACTACAAAGAAATTTTTACTCTTATCATACTTATATTATTAATCTTAAACTTCTCGACTATTTTCAGTCAATCTAACATCTTCTTTCCTTGTTACTTTGTTGGTACCAGAAATATCTATAGAATAGTAATGTAGACCCTTTAAAAAAGGTGTGTACAATGGCCTAGTGGGGGAGTGTCCCATAATTATGCTAATGAGAATTGGTTCACTCAAGATTATTGTTTATGATTACCAAAGCAATGGATAGAAAAGAACTGAATTATCACAAAATTCACCATAATATTCGTCTCAGTTGCAGCAAGCAATTAAAGTGTAAAATGAAAGAGAAGTCACAAAAAAACTTAGCATTTAATTGAAAATTGTGCGGCAGGTTGCCCCTGTCGTAGGAGCAGCTTTCCTCCAATATACACAACAAGTAGCTCAGTACATGGATTCCTCAGATCCTCACTGTAAACTGCTCCTCTTGTAACTGTAATGCATGTTCTGCAATCTGCTAGGAGCACAACATTGCTCAATTCAAGAACTTCTGTAGCAAGTCTTTGGAGGTGTTATTACCGGAAGACAAGAGGCTAATAAACAATGAGAAAGTGTCAGCGTCCGCTTCAAATCCTTGGCAACCATAACATCGCGATAGTATAGTGCATTTGACAAGTCATTATTAAGAATGAATCCTCGGATGATCGTATTATAGGTACATTCATTAGGGGGACAACCATTTTCATCCATTTTGCTTAATAATTGAGCAGCTTCACTCATGAGCCCTTTCTTACAGAAGCCTTTAACCATTATAGTGTACGTTTTACAATTAGGTTGCAGACCCTTGGATACAAGATCAGAGAAGAAATTTGCTGCATCTTCAAGTTGCCCAGCCTCACACAAACTGTTCATTAGGATATTGTAAGTGACAGTAGTAGGCTTAATACCTTTATCCTCCATATCTTCAAGTAAAGCCACTGCCTCACAAAGCTGTGCACTTTTGCAGAGGCCATCAAGCAATGAGCTATATGTGACAACATAAGGAGTAACTCCTTACTATACATAGTGAAAAAGGTAATGACTTTGTCCATGTCAATATATCATCATTCATTCCATTTTGATTTAACTCACATATCTATTGTAAGTGTTGCTCTCATATATCCATCTAAAAAATTAAAAAAATAAAAAATAAAAAATAAAATAAAATTGGGACATTAATATACTTAATAGATCACTTCTTTTTTTAAAAAAAATAAACTGCATAATGAGTTCATGCTTCAACAAATTACTGACAAATGACCCAAAAAAAAAAAGCGGCCAATTTTCTGATCTACTGTTTTCATTGGTAGCATAGAAATGTCTTAGACAGGATCATCTAGTCTATTCCTAAAAATTGGCACTTTCAGTCATCACTCTTAAAGGTTTTACAATAATTAAAACAGGTCATAATAATCCTTAAACGTCATCAGTTTGTGGAACAATAGGTTAAAATTCAGCTACGCTAAGGCCGTTTTTCAAAATATACTTCCTGTTGTTTCTTCCTCTGTAAACAGACGAAAAAGAGTGTTTTCTTCATCATCATGCCCTTTACTTTTACTGTCATTTACCTGAGATACGAATGCATCTGATTCTGATAAAGCATTCTTCTTTACAGATATGAATGCCACTCTCTTGTTCAATGTAGAATCAGGCTTAGATAAGCTTGGAATTAGGGAAGTTACTGAGCCAGAAAGAGAACTGCCTTTCACCAGGGTGCTTTCTGTCAGTTGTAACTCATTTTCTGAAACGTTCACTGGTACTGAAGGCATTTGAATCTGCTCAGCATTATAAATGTTTTCATTGGAGATGGGTGATGGTGATTCAACTCGTTTTCTTTTTAAGAGAAACTCTTCACCAACATTTTCATTAGCCTTCTCAGAATCAAATTCATCATCTAAACAAACAGAAAGAAAAAGAGGATCAAACTATCATTGCTGACAAATCTCACTGTGAAAGTGAAACAAAAACACTGCACTTGAATCTAAAATTTTAAATAGACAACTTTTGGGCTAATGAGGGGCACAGACCCAAACAAAAACAGGGACAATCAAACTACACAGCGTGGCCAAGCACTCCTTCAAATGAGAAGAATGTAATCTTACATGTACAGCAAGAAAGTAAACAATTACTCAATTAGGATGTGTTTTGATGGGACATTAAACAGAGGCATTTCTGTATGTTATTGGGTGAAATAATGATTTTGGTTTGAAAATAGTTTTCCCAAGGTGTGGAAAAGCCAGGAGTTTCCTTGCTTCGCAAAATGCCACACTGGCTTCCTCATTTTCTCTGCCCATCCATCCTCTCCACTTCACCGAACCAAACAAGGGAAAAAGCTAATTTCCATTGAAATATAGTTTCAATAGAAAATTAATTCCAGTTAAGAGGGAAGGGATGGGGGTGGACACCAGCATGTTAAGGCGTTAAAGAGTGGAAGATCCAGTTAAGGGAGAGGAGATGGGGTGGACACCAACACATTAAGGCCTTAAAGAGTGGAAATTGTATCAGAGTGCAAGCATGTTAAATATCAGAAATGGAAAAATGAAGAGGCCGAGGGTGGGGTGAAATATTACCTTCAAGAAAAGCATCAATACTTTGGTACTTTATAGATGTTCCAAGAGTTTGTACTGTTTCTGAGCTCCCACCTTGATGTAATATATTGCCTTTATCAGATTTTTTTATCAATACAAATTTATCCGTTTTCCAGACACATTCTAAGACAATAACTTCCTCCTCCAATGTGGGATAATACTCTCGAAAAACCTGATTCAATTGTCATTGAGTTGTATAGGCAAAATGTTTTCAACAGTAGTAGAAAATGGAAAAAAAAAAAAAAAACTGTGATGACTGTTACCTCCATTCCATTGTGAGTTATTTTTATGGACTGTTTATTCTGAGCAAGAGAAGAGACTTCGTTGAACACAGAAACAACATCCAGTAGCATCTGCATTGTGTAGAAACATCAATTACACTACGATTTTTTACTATTGCAAGAGTAAATTTAAAGTTGTGGGTACAACAAAACCAATATCCAAATCGCCAACATATTTATTCTTCCCCCACCCTCACGACAGCTCATCTACTTAGCATAGTAAATTACTCAATTATTTAGACTATTTTGATTAACCAGCCAATAGCCAAGACACTAAGAAGTCCCCACAAGCAAGCACAAGTTAGCTAGCAAAGTGGAGCCTGAACTTGTTGTGCATGCAATAGACCCACAGTTAAGTACTTGCCTGGAAACAAAGTGTCATCTGTTACCTTTCAGAGACTCCACACACCTAATGTTCACATGACAATACAAGTGCATCCCCAACCTAGGAACTTGTAATTTAGCAGGGTAACAAATAATACTAAAACAATAGGTAATCCATATAAATCAGTGAACAGAACCTATATCATCTACAGCACTTTTTGTAAGGGGGAGTAGCACAAGAGTTTATAGCATTACATTGATGACGATGACACACAACTCTGTTAATCTCACAGCTGGTGTAGTTAGCATAGAGGGGGTTAAGATATACTCAACCTTACCCCTAAATAGTTGCAGGTTTCTCAAGTAGATTCTTAAACTTAATGTTCATAGTAGCATCTGAGTGCTCCTGGTGAGATGATAAAAATATCTGCAAATTCCACATATATTAACAAAAACAGTATACTTCATATATAATGACATATAATTTTAATCTTTTGCCTCACAAGCTCAACTATTAAGTAATCCAGATTTTCTTTTGCCTCACAAGCTCAACTATTAAGTAATCCAGATTTTCTTTTGCCAAGGTCAGAAGGTCCGCAAAAACCATGTTTTCCTTATATCATTGAAAAACAAGAAAAATACATGAAATTTGAAGTCTTCTATCAGGAAGCAAAAGGTTGAAAGACATCTGGTTACAAGTCACACAGCCTTCTGCTCTCTTAGAAATTTTACAAATACCATAAAATCCAGTAATCGACTATAACAAACTTTTTTTTATGTTTAAGCAAATCATTAGTTGCTAATTACAACACATTAAGACAAGCTTCAGCAGAAATATTGAAAATTATTAAAAGTACAACAGTCTTACCTGCTGAATCAAAACTCTGAGGCGAGCCAGCAGAGCAAGAATCATTACAGAGAACCCCATGAAAAATGAACGGGCAAGCAAAGTAGATATATCACTGTAAGAAGGTCAAGGAACGAAGGAAGATTCCAAAAAAAAAAGTCTTTAGAGATTTTATCACCAAATTGTGTGAATCATATCAGCAACAAGATCCTACTAAAACAGGAAAAATGAACAAACGAGTGAATCTCTGGAATCTAGATGTGAGCTGACAAGATCTAATGGATAATTTCATATTGCATCTAAGTAAAACACAAAGGATACGTAGCTGCCTTCAGTATAGGCTCGACCATCTGCAGCAGCAAAATTTATTACAGTATAAGAACAGGTCTAGCAAGTAATCCTTAAATAGCTGTCAGCTATAGAGCAATTTCTTCTTTAGCCATTAGCAACAAGGCATTAACATCTAAATTTCAGTGAAGTTCAGGAGCACCCCCCGCCCCAACACAACCACCCCCCCCCCCCTCCAAAAAAAAAAAAAGGGAGATTTTGCTTGAGTGAAGAAGCAGTGAAGCATCTTACAAGACCTGATAACACTAGGAAACATAATATTTCGCACCTCAGATAGCAATCGTGCTGCCCCATGAAGACGTTCCATGAAATTAAATTGTACACCGTCGCGTTTCCTCCTTTTCAAACTGTCAAAAAAAGAATTGCACAAGTAGATGTCATACATCAAAAGGCTATCTATACTAACTAATTTTCTTTCTCACCCTTAGACACATTAACTTTTAACGACTAAGTATGCACACTCAGTTTTCTCTTTAGATGATCATAGCAAATTTGCAAGAATGACATAGACTCTGAAAGCACAAGGAAAGAAAATCCAAATAGCCAGACATTTGATATTTAACGTGGTTCAGAAACTTATAAAAGCATATTATTAGCAATATAATACACTAGAACCTCCTAAAGTCCTAAGCAGAGGAAGAAGAGGAGCGAGTTGCATTTCCCTATCCTAACTATTAACCTCTCTCAAACCTAATTTCTATATGAAGACATGACCCTCTCCATGAGGCATCTTTGTCTACTCCCCCACCCTCTGAAGTCGAACAAAACAATTCATTCTATAGAGGATTATGCATATTTCCAATATTAGTTATATTATTAAACTCAGAAAGATGCAAGAAAAGGTTCGTCAATGCTTTAATGTTGGATTTCATAGGCAAAATTTTCGCAGTTCCTTACCTTTCAAGAAGATTTGCCTTTTGTTTAGCTTTTCTTCCAGTAATAACATAGAAACATGAATCTAAAAGCTCCTCCAACTGAACTGAATGTAAAAGCTTTAGGTCCCTCCTTACCTAGCAACACAAAGCGAATCAGTGGAATGCGATACCTTAGACCGCGAAAGTCCAGCAGTTGTACAACAATAATAATAAGTTAATAACAGAAAAGTAAAAAATCAGTAAAATAAAAAATTGAGTAGTATGTGTAAATTACAAATACATTTTGTAATCACAGCAACACATTTAGAAGAACAACCTTCAAAAGGTACTGAAAATACGAGCATCGCCGATGCTGATTCTTGTTCTTATAAATGATCCGGTCAAGAATTCCGGATTCTGCTTGCAATTGACACAGGAAAGACTTCACTCTGTCCTCAACTTGTGCAGCCATTAGAGCTCTACACCGACGATTTTCAATGAATTAAACCTAAAAATTATCAAAAGGATTATTGATTATACATACACCAATACCTAATCGAAGTAATTGGAGTGTATAACGGTATAAACAAATTGAAATAACAATTTGATTTTCTCTTCAAACTAACTGTTGAAATCCTATTATCTCGTTGAATTGACAGAAACTAGTATGAAGAATGAAGATAATCTGATTATGAATTGAGAAATTAGCAGCTGCAAAAGAAGTTTACCTTTGGAATTTTGAAGAAGCAGATGATGAACCAAGGCAAGCAACAAAGAGAAGAAGCGTTAGCAAGGAGGCGAAGGCGCCAACGACGGCAGGCGCGGCGGTAGCAGAAAGCGCCGGCGAGCAATGGCAGTTCCGGTTTGTGGGAGTGACGGTGGTAGTGGCGGCTGGGCTATCTGTGGTCTGGTGTATAGAGGAGAGTGAAAATGGATTTTTTTGATAAATTCTGTTTTAATTGAAAATATTTTTTTTTATAAATTCTACCAGAAGCTGCTGCCTTGCGCTATGGACCGCAGGCGATGGGGCGCTTTGGTTGTGCAAATGTATGGGGGGAGGGGGAGAGTGATGCTCTCGGAGTCTCGGTGTTATTCAAGGGGTTAATAATGCGGGTGACGTTCGAGTTCTAGTGTTTCTACTTTCTAGTCTACTATGATATTAGACGTTTATGTTGTTTTTTTTTTACTAAGTATCTATATTTCTCATGTTAAGAGCGCAGGTAATATCATTTTCCATCTCGTGTCTAGATGGGATAAAATGGATGGTAGATAGCTCGTTTGTATGAACTCATTCCCTCAAAATATTCCCACTTTGATGGATTTTGATTTACTCATACAGTAATAATGCATGCTAACTTTTCCTCAATAAAAAATAATAAAAAAGTTAATTTCACAGAATTCTTTACAAAAATCAAATATAAGTCACATTTGATAAATTGTAAGAATTTAGGACTACCATTGTTCATTGATAATCAAGAAAATTTTGGCCTATCAATGATAAAAGTAAAAAATGTAGAGCTACCAATTAAAATTTCTCAATGTTAATCCATACACCGAATTTCCACTGTTTCATAATAATAGCATCCGTTTTCATTCCAAAAAATTGAAACCATTTGATTTTTACACTATATACGTTGTATATACGTGGTATATACTTTTTAGATTATACGAAGTATTTATTTTAGGAAAATTATAACAATATAATCCCGTGTTTTATACATTTTTCTTATGAGACCCTTGCAACACAAGCAAAGAAGAAATAGCAAGAGAGAAAAAGCAAAATAGAATTTCTAGGTTTGTAGGAAAATCATTTGATGCATAACACTCTTTAATACTATATTACTATCCCATGAATCTATTTTTATAGCCTTTACGTATATAATGTAGTGGAGAGTGCATAGTGTTATTTGTTTCATCGGTTTTTTTTACAAGGTTTTTTTTATATTTGTGAACTTCACGGGGTTACTAATACACAAATTTGGGTGTTTTTTAAATGGGAGATCAATGAAATGTATCATTGTTAGTCGATGATTTAGTTGTTACGGATCAAAATGACTAGAGCACGGATTGAATTTTTAAACTTATATATGTACATGAAATTTAAAATTAGAGTTTTTAACCAAAACGACCAGATTGCTTATAATAAAATAAACAAAATAACTATGAACACTAAAACTCGACACCCGACTTGACACCTCAATTCAAATTTGCCAACCGGAGCCATTAAGCCTAGAACAGTAGAACACCTTGCCAAGTAGAGGGGAACAATGATATGAAATTATAATCCTTCTTTAGTCTTTACTCTCTCAGATTTTGATTTTCATCCCAAACACATGGAGATAAACTTGGAATGAAATAACATCTACACCTACTGCTGCTGCTTCTTCCTTCTTTCATGGCGGTAAAGGTAATTGTGCCCTTCTTCCTCTTCTTTCTTTTTGCTGTTCCACTTTTCAATTTCATTACCGATGTTTTTCCTCTTATCAAACTTTTTCTGCTATTGAACACCGTCGTTTGATTGTCAATTCTGTTAAACATCACTACAAATTAGGGTTTTCCGATCTCAATTTTCCACTCTCTCTTCCATCAATTGACTTCTTTACGTCCTCTTCCTTCTCTCATCGTTTTCACTCAGCTTTTCACTGCCATTTCCAAATTGAAACACCTTCATCCTTATTCAACCATTATTTCTCTTTCCAGGCACATTGAATTACTGGGTATTCGACCTGATTTGCATTCGTTTGGTATTCTTGCTAATTGCTACTGCCATTGTTAAACTGAAGCACCTTCAACCACATTCCATCATTATCTCTCTCTTCGCCCACCTCCATTTTTGGGGTATTCGACCCGATAGGCATTCATTGGGTATTCTTGCCAATTCTTACTGCCATTTGGGTCGTATCGATTTCGGGTTTTCTCTCCTTGGTAAACAAATTAAAGTCGGGTATCCGCCCGATTGTGTTACCCTTACCACCTTAATCAATGGCTATATCAATAATGATAAGCTCCCACTAGCTGCTCAATTGTTGGATAAAATTGTCGGGTTAGGTTTCGAACCGGACATTGTTACCTATGGTGCTATGTTCAAAGGGCTTTGTAGGATCGGCGACAATGCCGGTGCTCTTGATTTGCTTGAGAGAATGCAGTCTGGAGGGCGTTGTATGCCGAACCTTGTTTCAGAAACATTGACAAGGCTCTTACTATATTACAAAATATGTTTCAGAAAGGGATAGCACCAAATGCTGTAACCTATAACACTCTTATTGATGGCTTGTGTAAAACCAATAGACTTACACTTGCACGCCAGTTGTTCACAGATATGCAAGCTCACGGAGTTACTCCTGATGTTGTTACGTATAATTCATTGCTTGATGGCCTATGTAAAAGTAAACAGCTTGATGAGGCAGTGGCCTTACTTGAAGATATGGAGGATAAAGGTATTAGGCCTGATATTGTCACTTACAATATCCTAATGGACAGCTTGTGTGAGGCTGGGCAACTTGAAGATGCAGCAAAATTCTTCTCCGATCTTGTGTCAAAGGGTCTGCAGCCTAGGATTAGGACATACAATATATTAGTTAAAGGCTTTTGCAAGAAGGGATTAATGAAAGAAGCTGATGAAGTGTTGAGGAAAATGGAGGAAGATAGTTGTTTACCAAATGCTATCACCTATAATATGGTCATCAGAGGATATATTCTCAGTAATGACTTCACAAAAGCCTTATACTATCATGATCTTATGCTAAGCAAGGGGTTTGAAGCTAATGCAGACACTTTCACATTATTTATTGACCTCTTATCTTCTGATAAGTAAGTGTTTCGTCTAAGGGTCTGCTTCAGAAGTTCCTAGAATGACTTCTTCTTGAAAATAAGATGATTGCGAATCATGAGAGATTTTGGATCTATGACAATTTATATTTCTGCTCTATTTATATTAATAAATTTATAATGTTCATACCAGAGTAGTCGTTCCTCCATTGTCTTCAATCACAAGATGGCCTGAGGAGTTGGGTAGGGCCTTAGACAAACGGTATGTACTCTGGCTTAACGTTTTCATGTTTTTGTTTTTCTATAATTACTTGTTTTCTTATGTGATTCTGTTTTAACTTGCCCTTGCTAAGCTAATGTTGGCCTGCTGGCATCTTGCTTTGTAATGTTTCCTGCTGATCCTTGAGATTATTCTGTAGGTCCTTCTATTTTAGTCAGAAAATTGGCTTTTGAAAAATGGCTATATGATTCTGCTTTGATTATAATCTTTTTAATTTGCTGGGCTTTGAGTTTATCCAGTTTCTGGTTCTGTCACGCAAACAATGCAGGTTATTGGATTTTGGTGAACATAGTCTATTTTTCTTTATTTTTTGGTGAAATTTATCACCCAAAACCCCCCTTTCACTCTTTATATATAGGATAGAAATATAGGATATAGGATTCTTTGTTAACCGTGTAAAAACATTAAATGTGACCTTTTGGAAATGAAGGGAGTACTATACAAGTATTAGATTTCTTTGCAACCTCGCCTACAATTAAGAGTATTTCAAATTGGCTTAGGAATTGTTTAGAAGGCTACTCCATCTGATAAGCCTTGGTTTTGGCATTCTTTTGAATTGTTGCCTTGGTTATTGTGTTCATATTTTCACTTAATATTCATTCTACCGTTTTATCGAACTTAAGTGGAACGAGTATCTTTGTAGAACTTAAGAGGCGTTTGTTGATGGCTTTTTAATGTCGTTTGCTTTTTGTTACATCTAAAGTAAATATATGAACATAGTTAAGCTTTCATCTTTTTTATCCCTACCCACCTTCCTCCTCCTACCTTTCACTGACACTACCATTTTCACCTTTTCTAACACCTTCTTCTTCTTCTTCACCTTCCGCTAACATCATGTTCTTCGTCTCGATCAACAATGTGAAATTCAGGGCGTAGTCAACCTCAAAGAGTAAGGGTGACCATGTCCTCCATTAAAGCTGCTACTTAAATTAATTTTCCACCTTGAAAGTACACTATTAATAATAGACAAGAACTATAGAAGTTATTTAATTACTTTTAACATTTTCCCGATTGGCCTCCAACAACAAATATGAGTGAAATTATTTGCCTACCCCCAACTAAAGTTACTAAACCCAGGAAAATACATCCGCAGCCCTTAATAAACAAAACTTTCAGCCCGTTTTGTGTGTGGTTGGTTACACCGTGTGACCATTTATATATAAAAAAATAAAGTAACCCCTATAATATTGACCAAATAACTCCTGATCGAGTAACCTCTAAAACACTGACTAAGTAACCTTATAATACTGACGAGGTAACTCCTTTAACACGGACCAAGTAACCTCTATTACACTAATAAAGTAACCCCTGTAATCGAACCATATCCCCCCCGGAAGCCCCCCTTGGGGGGGAAGGAACTGCAATAAGGCTGCCCTGCAGTCAACCCAGCATTGAGTTAAGTTCCAAGCCTTGAGTTTGTCAGGTACTTACCAAGACCCACCATTAACCCGCTTTATAATACAACGATATTTTAGTAATTCTCCGTCTTGAACACATTCACGAACGTACTCGGAGTTGCGGAATAGGTGGGTCAAACCCACCCAAGGCTAGGCTTATGTGTTTGATGAACTTGTATTTCCTCGTCGTCTAATGCGGATTGTGAAGTAATTCTTAAAACAAAAATCAGAAAATCAAGAGAAGTAGAAGAACAGGGATGACGATGACGATTACTTGCAAAGCTGCCGCTGCTTATAACACCATGTTTACCTTCCTGTCTCCATTAATGGTGTTTTTCTGTTAGAAGGCAAATCAGTTGGAACTTGCAATACTCAAGAAATGAAGATTACTCCTAATTTCAGATATTCTGCTTCCATTGGTAAATCTTCAACTCTTGTTCTTCCTTGTATTAATTTCCCTTTCAATTTCATCTCTCATTTTTATTTTTCACGACATTTTTCCAGTAAAACAATTATTGCAATTGATGGTCTTAAACTATTTCTCAATTCTGTTATAGAACAATGCAAATTAGGGTTTTCCGATCTCAAACTTCCACATTCTCTCTTCAATCAATTGACCTCTTTGCGTCCTCTTCCTTCTATCGTTGTTTTCAGTCAGCTATTCACTGCCATTTCCAAATTGAAACACCTTCATCGTCAGTCCACCATTGTATCTTTCTTCAGGCAGCTTGAATTACTGGGTATTTGATCTAATAGGCATTCGTGGGGTATGCTTGCCAATTCTTACTCCCATTTGGGTCGCATTGATTTCGGGTTTTCTCTTCTGCGTAAAAGCCTTAAGCTTGGTTATCCTCCTGATCATATTTTCTTTGCGTCCTCTTCCTTCTATCGTTGTTTGAACTGGGATTGCAACATGGATAAAAAGGAGGGAATGCAAGCAACTGGGATAAGCAACAGTCCATATTATGGCTCAATGTGTGCTTGATTATGTCAAACATAATGTTCCAGATTGTACTATAAGATATACTCGTAGAAAGCATGTACTACGTGCATTGATGACAGAAACAGAACATATTCTGAGTCTTGATCCGAAAAGTATAAATCTTAATCTGAGTAAAGTCGAGAGAACTGCACTGCAGTAGGAAGGCGTCATAGCAGTGTTGATTGTTGAATTCTTCACTCTTTGGGACTCTAATTGATATGTATGAGTATGCTATTCCAATGTTTGCTCCTCACTTTTGTAATTGTTTGAGCAATGTCAACCCTAAATTCTTTGTATAGCATCCCCTCCCTTTGTTGCAGCTAACACAGGAACTTCCAGCAGAATAGGGAAGAGTATATAATAGGAATGTTATGCTGGCTGAGAGGTCCTGATGTTATATTAGTTTGTTTTAGCCTGACATCATTTTCTTTTTTTTTTTTTTTTTTTTTTTTTCTTCTTTTAGTGTTGAATAAAATCCTTAACTAAATACTCACACTCTTTGGTTATGGTTTTGAATTATTTGATCCCCTTCCAACCACCCCGTATCCTTCATCGCAGTAGCGTATGTTGTGGAACATAGGTGGACTGTGATTATTGTCAGTCATTATCCAGCCCAATCACAATGTCTGATAAATCTAAATATAATGGCGAGAGGTGAGATGATAGTTGCACTACTGATTTAGGGTGTTACTATACTTGGTGAAGAAATTCATGCTTGAAATTGAAACTAATGTTTGGAATTTGAATTAAGGTCATGTTAGACTTGGTCTAGGCTAACAAGATTTATGTATCAAGTACTGTATTAAGTTGGTTAATCTGTTGCTGTCAAAAAAAAAGACAAATGTTTGGAATTTGAATTAAGGTCATGCTGGTTGACATATTTTGTAAAGATGGTAATGTTGTGGAAGCAGAAGCGATTTTAAGAATCATGACTGATAAAGGTGTAGCTCCTGACATTATTACTTACAATGCTTTACTTGATGGTTATTGTTTGCGTGGTCAGATGGAAGATGCAGAAAAGCTACTTGATATCATGGTCCAGAATGGTTGTGAGCCTAATCTTGTAAGTTTGAATACTATGATCAATGGATATGTCAAACTCAAAAACATTGACAAGGCTCTTACTATATTACAAAATATGTTTCAGAAAGGGATAGCACCAAATGCTGTAACCTATACCACTTGTATTGATGGCTTGTGTAAAACCGATAGACTTACACTTGCACGCCAGTTGTTCACAGATATGCAAGCTCACGGAGTTACTCCTGATGTTTTCTCGTATAGTTCATTGCTTGATGGCCTATGTAAATGTAAATGGCTTGATGAGGCAGTGGCATTACTTGAAGATATGGAGGATAAAGGTATCAAGCCTACTACTGTAACTTACAATATCCTAATGGACAGCTTGTGTGAGGCTGGACAATTAAAAGGTGCAGCAAATTTCTTTTCTGATCTTGTGTCAAGGGGTCTGCAACCTAATTGTAGAACGTACACTATAATGATTAAAGGCTTCTGCAAGGAAGGGCTCATGAGTGAAGCTGCTCAATTATTAAGCAAGATGGAGGAAGATGGTAGCTTTCCTAATGGTTGTACCTATAATACAATCATCCGGGGATATATTCACAATAATGACTTGTCAAACGCATTATACTATCGCGACATTATGGTGAGCAAAGGATTTGAAGCTGATGCTGACACTTTCTCGTTGTTTGTTAGCCTTTTGCCTTCCGGTAACTAAAGTGACTCATCAAAGGACCTACTTCAAAAACTTACAGATTAACTTGAGGCTAGCTGTTCTTCTTTAGGTTTCTTATTCATATTTTTATCACTTATTGAAGTATTGTACTAATTCAGCTAGGAACTCTTCTATATAAAACCTGTATGTAGCTCTGACCTCAAATATGAAATTTGTGGCTTAAAGTGAAAAATTATTGTGACAAGCAGTTTAAGTCCAATGCCCTTTAAACTGTTAGATATTAGAGTTATATTTGAATGTGTGTATGTTTTGTTTGTCTTATATATTCACATTATGACTAGCAAAAGAGAGGGATTTGCAACACGAAGAAAGAGGGAATGCAAGTAACTGGGATGACCACCATGACTTTCTTCTCTGTGTTTCTGCCTTCAGTTTGTAACCCATATCAACAGTCCATTTTATGTTCCTTATGTGTGCGTGAACTGTAGAGACTGTCAATTGCAATGTTCCGGATCATAGTGAAAGGTAAACATGTAGAAAAGCATGTACATTGTTGACAGAAACAGAACATTTTTTGGCACTCTTTATCCGAAAGACTAGAGGTAGAAATCTTGATCTGAATAAAAGAAGATGATTTGTAGTAGCTGTCTAGCTGATCATCACTGCAGTGTTGAATTCCTCAGTCTTTGGAACTCAATATTCAAAAACTAATTAGTATGTACTTATTTGCACATGATTCTGATGTGGCTCTCTATTGACCTATGATTTTGCTCCTTGCTTTTGATAAGTGTTTGAGCAATAGCCACTCTAAATTCTTTGTAGAGAGAAGAGTTACTTTATGATATACTAGTTCCTGAATTGATCGCACTTAGCACACAAGTTTTAGGATTGTAGGGATTTTAGGTTGTAGGTTTCTATTCTGTTGTGTAGGAGATGAGATCAGCCTTCTTAAATTTGATCCTCTTCAGTTGGGAATCAGATATATAGATTGAGAACATGTGGTTTCAGAGGCTACTAATTGATACAGATCAAAGCTGCTGCCTGAAAGGACAGTACAGAATTCATCAGCTTTCTGGTGTTGTGGCATATATGTATTTTGTTGTACATAATGGATTCATTTCCCAACTCTACTGTGTATCTTGATTGATGTTCATTTTTCTCCATCAATGGAGCATGGCCAGTTTTTGGACCGGGAATTCTGTTTTAGATATGCCAACACAATCGTCAAGATGTTCTTTGATTGTACTGGTAATTTGTAATTTCTGAGATGATATTACAGTCCCATATCTGACTTATACTCTCACTTGCCCGTGCTTTGTTTATTTACTGTTTGCTTCCTTCCAACTCATGTCCATATTATTTTGTGACCTGCGTTTCTGGTCTATGTTGTTCTTTGAGTTGGAAGAATAATGGTGAGCACTAAGCTGATAACTAGAATTAAATTTTCAAGTACGTGCGTATGTTGCTGTTTCAAAAACAAAATTGTGATTGTTTTTCATAACACAAATCTGCTTAACTTAGTTCAGAGGTTGTACACATATACTTAAATCAACCCTTTGTCAAACAAAAGGAATCCGAAGAGACAACATAATCCATTCACCATGAATGTAACCCCAACAGATTTGGATATAGAATGTCAAACCAATCATATTAAATAAATGGGAAACCTGTTGTTCAATCGAACTCTTCCCTTGTACTTCTGACAAAAAATTATATTCTACAGTATACTGATGTAAAAGAATGATGACTATCCCTTGAGCGTATTAGTATAACGAAAATTGCTACTAGAACAAAAAGTTGAAAATCCCTAGATTGAGTGACAAGAAATTTATGTCATCCCCCTTTCCATCTTCCTTTTCCCCTTCGGCCACAACTGAACTTTTGAAAGTGGAATTATTTTTTTTCCTCAACAATCAGATCTAGGAGGAAGCTTGAGGTTGAGACAAAAATATTCTTTCAATGTTGTGCAGCCATTCTTAATCCTCACTAAATGCCAAATCATATATTTCGCGGTAATCCTCAACGAAGTGGACATCTAGGCCTTCTTTCACATTCAAGGAAAGCTCATCAAAGTCTCTTCTGTTGGCAGCAGGAAAGATTATGGTCTTCACGCCACTTCTCTTAGCTGCTATGGTCTTCTCCTTTACCTGATTTTTACATAATTAACAAATTCAGGCACTTCGGATAGATGATGAACATGTGAATTTTACAATAAAAGAAAAGTTAAGACAACTGCAACAGCAAAGCAAACAATTAAACCCTGAATGCAAATAAGTATGAAGCACACATCCTAAATGCCAATTACAGGTCCAAGCGTCTCTTCCTCAAGTCTCTCCAATTCCTCACCATAGCCCTGTTCATTTATGCATGACAATTCTAAGGGGAAATAGATACTAAGTACAGAATTTTCAACTCCGGATTCCATCACAGGAAAAAAAAAAAAAGGTGTCAACGTATCAATGCCAGATGTATCCAACAAGTTCAGTACTTTTAAATAGCCAAAGTATCGTGTCCACAGACTCTAGACTACCAAATTTAAACCAAAATTAAACAATGCACACAGTCAGATGTCTCAAGTCCGGAAATTCCATCGAATCAACTCTAGCCTCCATCAAACAATGCAACATCAATATCCTGGTTTTCCTCGATATATCAATAAACTATGGCATCTCAAATCTAAAAGCGTGCCTAACCTCAATATATCCGTTAATGCACCAACACCTATGTAATAAAAAAAGGAACCAATAACAAAATACAAATTATGCAATCATCTTATCAAAATTTTAGTTTACAACACCAAATTCACAATTTAATAATATAACTGTATAATTTCCACTTTTTTTTTAACCACCTATTGAAAAAAAAAAAAAAAACAAAATCTAAGACTTAACTCACTTAAGCACACTCAAATGACAGGGCAAGAGAAAGAGGATGCATACAAGGACATATTATAAGCAATTAAACACAAGCCATAAGACTCATTCACATCTTTTTTCTTTTTTTAAAAAAAAATCTAATTCAAGGTTTTTATCCCCAACCTTCATCTAAAATAAATTTTACATCCTATTCAAAAATGATTTTAAGCCAGTCATCACTTATAGTTGTAATTCAATCTCAATCAATCAATCAAAGCCTTATCCCAAAGTTTATAGTTGTAATTATTTGTTAACAATTTTACCTTTCTCCCCACAAAACAAATCCCTGAATATGTTAGAGCTGAGCTGATCTCGACTACTAAATCGTGTGAACTTATCGGAATTTACTAACCTTACTTTGCTTATCTGAATTTAGTTACCTTACACTTTGAACTTATCAAGACTAATTTTTACTAGTGAATATTAAACCATATTTGAACAGTTCATCTGAAAGTATTAAAACTTGTACACCTATTCAAACTTTATGGACTTTGAATGCTTCTTTTAAAGTGTAAGGACACGGACACCAATAACAACGGAGATTTATTTCCCAAGATTGATACATAATTTGTGGCGAACAGCACACAGCTGTTCCTGGTTAATTTATCTTGTACAGCCTTTGACAGATCATCAAAGAAACAAGAGAAGCCTATGTGCTCTGCTCCTGGTTCAGAGAAAAACCAAGACAGCATTTTCATAAGAAAAAAAAATCCTATTGTTGCAACTTACCCCGCCAATTGGAAGAATCTTCCCAGTAAGCGTTACCTCCCCAGTCATTGCCAAGTCCTTTTTAACAGGTTTCTTCATCGCGAGAGAGAGCAGTGAAGTAATCATAGTGCACCCAGCACTGGGTCCATCCTTGGGTGTGGCGCCAGCAGGGACATGGAGATGAACCTTAGAATCAGCAAAGAAGTTTCTATTTGGCTCCTTCTCCAGCAGTATTGCCCGGGAAACTGTGAGGGCAATTTGTGCACTTTCCTTCATGACATCCCCTAGTTGTCCAGTCAGATTAAGAGCCCCTTTTCCTTCTCCTTGCTCAACGTGGGTTGTCTCTACGTAGAGAGTTGATCCTCCCATTGCAGTCCAGGCTAGACCCATCACCACTCCAACAGGGGTCTGATCATAGATTCGCTCTGCATGAAATACAGGTTTCCCAACAAAATCAGATAGGTTTGATTGATCGACCAACACTTTCTCTATCACCTCCGGTTCCTCGGCTTTATCAATTTCAGTTGTATCCTACCAGAGAAAAAGAACACAAATCAATGACAGGTTTTACACATTTTTTTTAACTTAATCCTTCTCCGCTTCTTCCGTTTGGCAACAAAGTCTAAGGGTTCAGAGATTTTAAAAATAGGTCCACCTAAGCAAGTCGCAAAGCAAATATCCATACAGCAGACAACCATTCAGAAGATTAGGGCAAACATAAAGTCAATTGTTGATACAAAACCCAGCAACCACTTGACACCTTAAATTTAATGAAAGCTAAATTAAAATACGTGAACCCAACCAAGTCCTTGATGGAAACATGCATAACATCAGAGAATACATGAATGAAGACGATGACACGGCCCATGTCAAATAGTACATCAATTACAAGCACCAGAACTAATAAGAAAAAAATAAAAAATAAAATAAAATAAAATAAAATAACACCAAGTTTGGGGTGTGGAGGTAAATTCAGTGTGGGTGTTATAAACAGAGAAAATTATCAAAAAAGTTCTTTGAATTGAGGATAAAACTTCTCATATTAGAGCCTGTACTTTGAATGCTTGATTTTTCTATCAAAGCTATTTATTCCTTCTATTTTTAGCAGTTGCTGTCTGCCGCCATCAAAAATTGAAGAATGAAAACAAAATAAGATACTTCTTTAAAGAAGCTTCAAAAGGAAAGGGGATATAAGATGCCAGGAAAGGTGAAGTTCCACAAGAGAATTGATATTATGTTTGTTAGTGGAGGAATTTTGTAGAGAAGTTCACCAATCATTCCATTTACTATAGATCCAAACAGAACTCAAAGATCACAGAATACCTTTGAGCCATCAAGTAAATCATTACATCTTTGGGGGTGCTCCTGTTCAAAATCTATATTATCCGAGCTGGTCTCATCAGATTTATCCTCATGGCTTCTCACTTCTGTTTCAGCTTTACTTTCGTTTTCTTCCTGAACCGTAGTTTCACTTGAGTCAGCAATACAATCAGCTTTAGAAGCATCAGAAGCAAGTGATGAGGACTCGTGTGAAGCTCCTAGCCTCACAAGTTGTAAAGCAATCTGAAATGTGAAGTGACTTCAAGTAAGCATAAAATATATGGTGATGTTTATTTCTGATAACATCAAGAAGTTCAACTAATCAAGAACCTTGCGGTATATTTTTTCAATTTG